GCACTTGCATCTGTATCTCTATACATCTAGATACATCGATAGATAAACAGATAGATGTGGTGTGCGCATATTATATATATATATATACACACACACACTGTACACTCACAGTACATACACACATACATGACGGCGATGTCGTACTTCCGGCACAGCGGCTTTGCTCATCTGAGGCGAGGTTCGTCAAGCACTGCCGACGGTTTCACGAGCATGACACGGAGCCAACAGTTCACAATCACTGAGACACAAGTCGCCTGCACAAGGAAAGGCCACAAGAGCAGTTCAGATGGCGAGATGTCTGCAATGCAAACGAAGGCCCTGGCTCACGAACCTCAGAACCATTAGCTCATTAGCTGGATCCCGACCCGCCTTCTCTGCAGAAGGAGCGGCACTGCCTCAGGGTGTCAGGGGTCTTCGCACGTCGTGGCACCGCTACGCTTTTTTGTAATCTCAGCTCTATCTCCAACATGCTAGTCAAAAGAAAGTTTATCAAACCAACTCGAAAGTAAGAGTGAATTGTCATTACGTAAATCAACTCACGATAAGGTGCCACGAGTCAACTTCCTCTGAAGTGTTCGCTTCAATACGAGCATTGACAGTTTCAGGAACTTATCAGAGCAAGAAGCTGGTTATTCGGATGTGATCTGCGATCAGATATTGACCACGTACTGCTGCCGACTTGGTGCCCGCACCAAAACGTTTTGCACGCTGCGCCTTCGCGTCATCGTCGTTGGCGGCCTTGGCATCAGCTTTCCGAAGGACTGGATTGCCCCAGGGATCAAAAGCTTGCAGCTCGGGACTGTTTTCTGCTGCGGGGGCGGAGTGAGCGAACCGATGTGATAACTGCGTTGCGTTCCGAAGTCTTAGGGTTTAGGGTTTAGGGTTTAGGGTTTAGGGTTCAGGGTTCAGGGTTTAGGGTTTAGTGGTTTCAGTTGATGAGAAGCATTTGACGAGTGACTTGGACTTGCCGTGACTGGCCTCTTTTGGGACATGGAGCGGTGGGCTCGCACGTCCTTGCTGTCAACGGTCCTTGCTGGACGTGGGTGGTACACTTCGGGATGCTGGGCTGGAGCCCATGATCATTAAGATCCTCAAAAAGTTTTCAAATTCCGCAAACTCACGGGGCTCCTGCTCTAGACCCCAACCTCTAAAGTCCTTTCTACTTCAGGAATCTCCCCGCAAAGAGGGGCACCTAGGTTTATTAGGGAACCACCTGCGCACCCCCACAGATGTTACCGTCCCAACGGTGAATCACACTCTCACTAAGCCTGCATGTACGTAGGTATGCATATGTATGCTTGTGACTGTTTCTGTGTACGTGCGTGTATGCATGCATGTGAATGTATGTTTATAGGTATGTATATGTATTTAAATATGCATGCTCGCACGCATGCATGCATGGATGGATGCATTGCTGCATAGTTGGATGGCTTGATGGGGCGACGAGATGGGATGGATGTGTACGTATGTATATATATATATATATATATGCATATATATATATACACACATATATATATATATACACACACATACGTATACATATACATATGTACACGTATGTATGTGTGTATATATATATATACATACATATGCATGCAACAGCATTGTCAGATAGGTCGTGGGAGACCCTGAGCCGTAAACCTAAACCCTAAGCCCTCGAACCGCACAGAAAAGTGGAGAGGGCGCGGCCCCGAAACGCTTGGCCCGCGCCTCCAGCTTCTCCTGAGGCCCCGGAGGCGTCAGTTGGGGTTCCGTTCCTTAACATGTTTCGGTTTCTGCATGTGTATATAATTAATATATATATATATATATATATACATATACATACATATATATATATATATATCTTATATATATATATAAACATGTTGCAAATCTGTACGCGAGCTGGGACAAAACTGCCTTACTCAAGGTGACCTCCATGTTGAGGGATTACCCTGCCGCCCGCGGTACCCGACAAAATGTATCCACATAGTTGGTGTGCATTCAGAAACATTACTACTACAGTATGCGCTGCGCGGCAGCCGAGAGGAAAAGGACAGAATCGAGTGGTGTAGCAACTATCACAGAAGACTCTGCGCCTTTGTTAGGTAAACCGGGAGGGTTTAGATAGTTTGAAGTGGGTCCGCTGAACTGGGCGAGGGGGGACGGAGAGGCTTCAAATAGTTTAGATAGTTTGGGGCGTCCCTGGTGGGGCCCCAAACAATCTAAACTATGTAAACCGGGAAAGTTTGGATAGTTTAAATAATTTGGGAGTCCCGGGTGGGGCCCCAAACTATGAAAACTATCTAAACTGGGAAGGTTTTTAGTTTAGTTTTAGAGAATATTTTCAGTATGTATATACATGCATCTAATACCTACTTGAAAACTTGTTGGTTCCAGAAAATGGCTTTGGGGTCAGGGTTTTCAGTTTGATGTTTTGTGTTGGCTAGAGTTTGGGGTTTGCAGGTGTCGGGATGGTGTGAACCCCCATATGCGGGTTTCCCAAAATTAGGGTAATATAGTACCCCAAATAGTAGGATCCTTATTATAAGGACCCCAAAATAAGGTACCCTTATTGTCGGAAACTCCCATATAGAGGTTTAGGGTTTAGGGTCAGAAGAACTGCAGGTTGTGGATTCGAAGGTCACTGTGGTGAGGGCGTCCCTGCATCATGAGTTTCTATATCACGGGTATACGTGGAGATTAACCTCCTGCAAGAAAGGTACCCCTGAGAACATAAGCTGTGCGACCCTCCATCAAGCTCTGGCTGGCATTGAGACTTACTTTGAAGAATTAAACTGAATGTGTGTGTGTGTGTGCGCTACTTAAAGGATCATGGGACTTGGTAAGTAGGGTTATAATTAAGTAGGGTAACTATACTTATAACCCCAATTAAAGGACTTATAACCTTACTTACTAAGTCCCATGATCCTCCAAGTAGGAATTCAGGGTTTTAGGGTAGGCAGGCGGTTCCAGTTCCGGCTTCAGGAAGTTCATCTGAGCCGATCGCAAAGGGCCGATAGAGGGAGTCAGGGCTGTGGATAATACCCGAGCAGCGGGGCGTGTTTGCACAGATTCGCAGGCTTCAGCCGAAAGCTTTGACCCAGTCTTGCTTGAACTGCTGTCGACTGGTGAGTTCGGCATGAAACAAAAATGCCCCGTGCAGCAAGTCGGTACGACGCAAACCCGAGGTCCTGAAACGGAAACACGTCCCTCGTCCCATGAGGTGTCCTCCTAGTAGGGCTATTTTGGGGGTCCCCTTTCGAAGGCTGGACCGCAGACTGCCCCGGCTCCTTGGTTGACAAGGAGCCGGAGTTGCCATTCTCGGTGCCCTGCGCGCAGCGCAGAGTTCGGGAGTTCCCTCAAGGCCCTCGTAAACGTTAGTCTAGAATGTGGAGTCGGTGACATAGGGACGATGGCAAGACATGTCATCTGGCAACGTACCTTGCAAAGCTAACTGCATGCGAACCTGCCTCCGATGCCGCCATCACCTGCTCCATTTCTCGCGTTTCTTCAAAGACTGCTGAGGGTGCTGCATTAAATGCTCTGCCATTGAACTCCGTGTGGTTCAGAGCAGGCCCGGTGCAGCCCAGGTTACACAGAGAGTACGACATGTCAAACTTGGCAGTGTTGTTCCATAGTGTTCCGACTCACAGCTGCTGATAGCTAACGTCTGCGACCCCTTCAAGCGTTTGGTATAAGGGCCAGCCCAAGCGTGAACCTCGATCACACTCCAAATGCTGCTCCCCGAGCCCGAAACTCTGAACAGTTATTCGCAAACCTCATAACTCACTCGCTCGCAGGCTTGCACAGAAGAACAGCAGCTCCTTTGATCCCTTGTCTCTTCCTGCAATCAAACATTGTGACGCTACGTCCCGATATCCTGAATCCGAAAGCGACAGGTCCAGTAACCCACTCAATAAACCTTAAGCTGCAGTCCCTAAGCCCCGAAAAATCAAAAAATCCAAACCCCCCAGACACCCAAAATCCTAAACTCTAGGCCTAGACCCCGGCCATAAACCCTAAACCCCCAAACCCCTATAAACCCTAAACCCCCAAACCCCTAAACCCCTCTAAACCCTAAACCCCCAAACCCCTATAAACCCTAAACCCCCAAAGGCCCCAAACCCCCAAACACCTTAAACCAGCCTCTTAGGCTTCCGCAGCCCCTGGCAACCGTCTGAGCCAATGGCCGGCGACAGCGCAGCAGGGAGAGTCAAATCTGGTCTAAGGCTTACTTCGGCCTGGTTGAGGGGTTTATGGTCGAAAGGGTTCATAGAGCTTTTAGGGCTCCTTGGAGGTTCATGGGTAGTTATAAGTGGGGTTATAAGTCCCCTAATATGGGTTATAAGTACAGTTACCCTACTTATAGCCCTATTTATAACTACCCATGAACCTCCAAGTAGGCTTTATAGGGCTTACAGGGCCCTGGCCCTATAGGGTTTAGGGTTTTAGGGTTTAGGGCTCAACCTGGTGCAGTTCATGGTGTTGGACTTTTAGTTTCAAGGACGCGGCATTGGTATACGGGACTTTCCGAAAATAAGGGGTACCCCTTATTCTGGGGTCCTCATAATAAGGATCCTACTATTTAGGGTACTATATTAGGGTCCCCTATTTTCGGAAACCCCCATACAGGGTTAGCATGGGGTTCGATTGGTCTGCGAGTTGGACCCACCATACTTAAAGGATCATGGGACTTAGTAAGTAGGGCTATAATTAGGGTAACTATACTTATAACCCCAATTAAGGGACTTATAACCTTATTTACTAAGTCCCATGATCCTCCACGTAGCCCTTCTTGGTACATTCAGGTAATAGTAGCATTTCTGACACCTACATACGCACAACATTGAGCAGTGACACTTCCAAGTGGGGCCTGTGGATGATCTGTATAGTATGGTCCAATGTAGTACAGCATAGTATGCGAAAGTATTTTGTAGTCTAGTTCAGAGGGGTCACATCAAGCGCAGCAGTGTCTGAAGTCCACCCTGAGCCCGAACATGCAATGGTGCTTTTTAACCGCTGTCTCTGGCAGGGCGGGATGCGCTCCTTCCAGACTGCGGGGGCACCTGATACCACAGGGCGCCATCCGTCTCGTACTTCGGCTAATAGATTACGAATATCGTATTAAACATTCTATTCTACTAGACTATACTATGCCATATCATGGTGTAGCATCTCGTCCAGGCCCCTCAATCCCTTTCTGTGCACATGCGACGGCGGCCCTTCTATGGCTTGGTCCTCGCAATGACAGGCATGATAGGATTCTCACCACTACTTGGAGGTTCATGGGTAGTTATAAGTGGGGTTATAAGTCCCCTATAATGGTTATAAGCACAGTTACCCTACTTATAACCCCAATTATAACTACCCATGAGCCTCCAAGTAGATCTGTACAGGAATGGGATATCTAATGGAATGAGATGAAGGACCAAGGACGGTGCGTCATAGGACTTCCTTCCTCCCAAGTTCACCGTACGATGGTGCAGCCAATAAGCTTGAAAAACCTGCAACTCGCTCAATCGCTGCCGTAGCTACAGCACCAGCAGAAGTTGACAGCGCAAAGTACACCGAACAGTACCTATACTTCCACCCTAAACCCCTACACCCTTATCCCTGAACCCAGCCGTACAAATCTCCGGGACCCCAGGCATGAACTATAGTCTCTGTTGTAGTTCCTTGTTGGAGACTATAGTCCAAGGTTGAAACCATGGGCCCCTAGTATGGGCCCCTAACCCTGGGATCCTTATACACCTTTTATATACCCTATATGTACCCTTGAGGGCCCCTAGAAAGGCCTAAGGGTTCAAACTAGGGGCCCATACTTCTCACCTTTGATATAGGTTGGGTTCGTGGCATCCCCGGGCCCCGGGCCTCCCAATTCTCGTCCGGAGGGGTGCGCCAGTAAACCTCGAAGCAGGCGGCTTTCCAATAATTAGGGTCTGGGGTCTTTGTTTTAAAGCGCTTTGGGACTTTCTCTCCGCAGAGGTCGAGCCACAGCCCATTGGGCCAAACACTTCACATTACACCTGCCGACCTAGGGTTTAGGGTTCAAGGTCTAGGGTTTATAGGGCTTAAGTCGGCTTAAGGTTTAGGATTTAGGGCTCAAGGTCGCGAAGGTTTGGGGTTTCGGGGCTCCCTATCATAGAACCTTATAGGATCCCTTTAAGCGGACCGTCCTGCCTCTCCATCACAGAACCTTGTGGGATCCTTGTAAGGCGACCCTATAGAACCCTTAGGGGTCCGAGAGCCCGTGCCAGAAGATCGTGCACGACAGCCGCAGGCTCCGGATCAGTGCCGCGTCTCAACATCCCCTAACCCCCCAGGTACCTACTATATAGGGTACTGGAGCCCCTAGGGCCCTATATAGTAGGTACCTGCGGGGTTAGGGATCGCCAGACAGAACTCAGAGGGGGGCGTGTCCATAGACCCGCGTTGACGCCTGAGGGAGGCTGGGGAGATTAGTTCATGGAGAGGCGCGGCCTTTCTGCCTGATATGCTATGCCATTGCCCACATCAGTCTTCAGGGAATGTTCAGGGCTTTGGGTTTAGGGTTTGGGGAACATTAGTATCAGCTGAACCCGCGCCGATAAACTCTGATCGCCAACTTGATCCCAGGAGTCGCTTGTTTTGGTAGCTGGCTCTGCAAAGCGATGCCTCCTTGTGGTCCATGCTAGGCCAGCGAAGAGCACACACGAGCCCTGCGCCGATCTCCTCCCGACTGCATCGGCTTCTGAAGCGGACAAGGTCACTTGTCAAGGGAGTACCGTTGGGTTAGCAAGAACACTGAGAGTTATGGTCCGGATTCTTCTCATTTATCTTCAGTGGTCTCACCACCATACCCATCATCTTGGTCGTCATCGTCCTGCACTCATGCACAATCATCTGTTCACGGCCAATGTCATCATTGTCTTTATCATAGTCATTCTCACCGCTGTTCTCATGCGCACGGGTGCGATACGATGTTTGGCAACACCGGTGGCAGCACGGCCAGAGAACTGATCACTGATGGAACCAATACCAGCCAGAAGAAGGCAGACGTGTGCAAACGGATGAGGAAGGCAGGTTGCTCTTATTTTTCGGAGCTTGGACTCCAGGCCTGTAGCCTCAAAGGTTTTCTTGTGGGCTGAGGGAGGGTGATGAAGGGCTGATAGCTGCACTTGAGGGAAGTGCAAGTGTCTGACGATACTAGCTTCTATGCGGTTTCGAGCTTTTGGTTCGACCTCGTTCCCTCCTAACCTCATGTCAGCAGAAGTCTGCGTCCTTGAAACCAGAAATCCCGAATGATCTTGCCAACTTGGAGGTTCATGGGTAGTTGTAAGTGGGGTTATAAGTCCCCTAATATGGGTTATCAGCACAGTTACCCTACTTATAACCCCATTTATAACTACCTATGAACCTCCAAGAAGAAGGGATAAGAAGGGGATGGTCTCCTCTCTGTGAGCCTTCCGCGGGGTGGTTGCCAGCGCTTTGGCTGCAATGGACAGGACCTGAAATAGGGCTCTGTCACTTGTAAAAACAGATCCCATACCTAAAGTTCCCGTTTTGACTATGTACTCGCTTCAAAGGAGCCTTAGAACAGCGCTGTAATCTACGGGCCTGAAGCAGAACACAACATCCACTAGCCTGTCTAACCCGTTCAAAAAGTCTCTTTCGAAACCTTGTCAAAAAACTCTAAGACAACCCCTAAGTGCTGAAGATCCCTGAGACTCTTAGGCTCTCGCCGATCGTGACATCTGCGGTTTGGAGGGTTTCTGGTTTAAGCCCTAAACCCTAAACCCTAAACCGCACCGCTCATCTTGGCCGACAGACTGGAGACGACTACGGAGACGACAGATGGATGCACGCGACGATACGGTCGCGCCGGAACCAAATTAAATCCCTTAACAAGAACCCAGTCTTGGTGGCTCTGCTGCATTGCAAATTGCAAACCCGGGGGCACTTAAACTTTCAAACCGCGAAGATAGCTTTCGAAGCGAGGCTGTGTGCGCAGTCCCAGCTCGAGCTCGCTACAGTAGGCTCGCGGCCGAGTTGTTCTTGGGGTTGAGCTCGAAAGCCACGCCAGAAAGCTGGGCAAGCGAACGCATTTACAACCAGAGCTTTTGTGTACGCTCCACCCTGCGCAGTCGTCACTGCGAGGGCAGGCATGTGAATCATGTGGCGGCCCGTGACCTTGCGGTGGGTTACTGCCATCGCTTCCGCCAGCCTCAGCATGTGTGCTACGACTGGAGCGGGTGTAGTTGTCATCATTGCCGCTTATATTCACGGTGCAACGGTCTCTGCATCTGTTTACCCGTTGTGAAATCACCTTTCTTGGCTTTAAATTTGGCATTGTGCTACTTATCTCAGTTCCGTATCATTTCTTCCTGATGTGTCGTCAGCACTCACAAACTCCGGATCGATCCCGATCATATTCTTCCAAAGCATCTCCCAAATTGTGCACGCTGCATCCTCGACTGACAAATAGTAAGGAGGACATAATGACAACAGAAGTGCGCAACAACTGCAAAACAACTGTAAAAACAGCAGCAACAACAGCACCAGCAGCAGCAGCAGCAGCAGCAGCCGCCACAGCGACAGCGACAGCGACAACGACCACGACGACGACAACGACAACGACAACAAAAAAACGGCAGCAACACACAACGACAACAGCAACAAGGATGATGACGACAACGACTGCGACAACAACCACAGCAGCATGAGCATCAGCGCAACAACAACCACAACCGCAACAACCACCACCATCAGCACCACAACAACACCAAAACCCCAGTGCCAAAACATGACTTCTGTGGATTGAAGATGGCACGCGCTCAAAGTCAGGGCCCGTGCTTCTCGACTTCGGTGTTGGGAGTGACCGATAAGGGCTTGCGCACCCGGGCATCCAGCTGAAACCACCTGAGGCTTGAATGCCTCTCAATGTGCCGCTGTCGGGTTTTCCCATATCCGTGACAGTGGCACATACAAGGAATTGCAAAGACTACTCCGAGGGTTACTTATTTTCCGGAAGCTCATCGGCCAGGCGGGACAAAGAAGAGAGGTTTGCAAGTCTGCAACTGTCAGCAAACTACACCAGCAGCACATCCATGAAAACATCTGTTTTAAATTCAAAACAGAGCGCATCCATGAAAACATCTCCATCGGCAAGCTGCACTTCTCTCCTCTACTGATGAGCCTTGCAGGTCATGCACCCAAGCCCGAAGCCTCAAACGTGCCCTAAGCCCCAAACCCAAGTAGAATAATGACAAAAAAGGATAACAAGCATAAGCCTAACAGTATAATTAATCAACAAGTTTTAGATAGTTTTAGCAGGAATCATCATCATAATGGAATGGGTGAAGCCTTTGCTTCCACTCGCCCCAGGATTCATGGATCTGGCAACGGAAGCGGAGAGCGCGCCCCTCCTTCTCCTGGCGTGGGGTTGAGGGTGTGGGGGGTCAGATTGGGTTTGGGGTTTAAATGGGAGTTTCCAAAAATTAGGGTACCTTATTTTGGGGGTCCTTATGATAAGGATCCTATTATTTAGGGTACTATATTAGGGTCCCCTATTTTCGGAAACCCCCAAATCTTGCTGGTGGTGGTCTGAGGCCGGCGTCATACACTCGCGTTGTGAAAGGTCCATGCTTAAGGCCAAAGAGACTACTTTAGTCGATGGCTTCCATGAAGTGGTTTGCTACATGTGTGGTGTTCCCCAAACCAACATGGCTCACTACCTTGACATTCATAGCATGTAATATATATATATATAAGAACCATGTATTGTGTAGTTGTTCATTTGCATGTAGTGAAATCACGAGGCACGCGCCATGCCAAAGAACGGTGATTGCCGATGGGAACCTCGTGCCATCGCACCATGAACTCAATGGGGCTCTTAGCCAGCTCCGATGCCTGACCAGCAACGGGGGGTGGGTGCGTCTCAGGATTAAGGGTTTCCGGGCGTGCGTCATCTGAGGATTAGAGTTCAGTTTGGACTGTTTTAGGGATGAGGTCGGAGGCATCTCTCGAAGAGGAGGGGGGTGGGGTCTCCAGCTTAGTCCTGGAGACGATTCCAAGCTCACATGCCGGAGTTTCCAAAATGCTGCGGTGGGAAAGAAAAACGGATAGCTTGTACGACATGCAGATGCTGCCAAATCAAACCCTTGCATCACAGATTCAGACAGAAGCAGAGCACACTTAGCTCCTGAATATGAAACCTTCTTGAACCCGGCAACAGCCCAAAAACCCAGTCACGGGCCGACGCGAGGCCACGGAGGGTGTTCCCCAAAGCGATTTCGCCTCACAGCACCCCAGTAGCTTTCTGACTGCGGCTGATCGACAAAACGCCATGGCAGCTGTTGCAAAGGTTCAGCATGTGGTCATCAGCACAAGTCTGTGCTGCACCAGCGAAACATAAGATGATGATATGGCCGCTACGGCTACGGCTACTGGTTTCAACCCAAGCTCACGCCCAAAAACACGGATGCAGCTGAATCCTTCACTTGCACATTTTCAGGCTTTGAAGGAGACAGTCAAATCTCTAACATAGGATGATTGCATCGTGGAGACCAGGCTCTCTCAATTTCAGGCCTTTCCTGTCCTTACAGAAGTGACCTCCACTATCAAGTGCCCAGAAATCCGGCAGAGGTTCTCTGCAAGGATAGGGTTTAGGGTTTAGGGTTTAGGGTTTAGGGTTTAGGATAGTTGCTTTAACCCTGGTATGCGAGTAAACACGCCGGGCGCAAGCCTCGTGCGCCCACGACCTTAGAAGGACATTCTGCATACAGTGCGGTGGTATGTTCATGCTGAATGGGACGGCAACTGCCACAGCTACATTAGTAGCTCCTGATGGTGATGCTGATCCCCCTACTGTGTTCTTATTCGTAGTTTGCCTCGTCGAAGCAGTACTACTACTACTACTACTACTCTACCACTACTACTACTACTACTACTACTACTACTACTACTACTACTACTGCTACTACTGCTGCTACTTCTACAAACCAGCTGGGGCTGCAACGCAGTAGCCAGGGCCGGCGCTGTCGCGGCACATCGCTCCTCCAAAATAGGGCAGTTTTGTCTAACACTCGGGACAGATGCGATGTTCTCTGCGTATGAAGAGCGGTGCTGATATCTCGTGGAGGCGCTGACACAATCACAAGAACGGTCAGCTTCCACGAGCTAGGCATATTGGGAGAATCTCAGGACTCTCTGAACATCTCTGGAGCATGAGGTCAAGCTGTTGAGGCGGCCGAGCCCTCTGCGGATCTTCGCTCCGAGCCGCTCATAGCGCTGATCGTCCGTCTGCAAAGACAGGTCGCTGATGGGGCATGGCATGGCTTTGCGGTCTATATTCCTGCGGAGGCGAGGACGGGCAGGCCAACGACAATCGGAAGTACCACAGCTACGACGATGATAGCGAAGGAAAAGGAGCACCGCAATGCCGGACAGATCGGCCTCTTGATGGCTGATAAACAAATACCCACCTAACAAACACCCACCTCACCCATAAACCCTACAAGAAGCCACACAAACCCTACCCCATCATTATCTCAAACAGCCCTCCCCCTTTTCGAGAGACCCACCTCGACCAAACCGGGCGCCCAAAGGATCGCCGGCCGGGCTGAGAAGCTCCGCCTCCGCCAGCGACCACCGGGCCGTAATTAGGAAAGGGTTTTGGGGGTTCCTTATTATAATGTTATAGTTATAGTATACTATACCCCTAAACCCTATTCTTGTAATACAATTATACTGGGTTCGGAGTCTTGGGGTTGTCTGGAGTCGGGTGCAACTGAAGCTCTGCAGAGATTCTGGACAACGAAGCAGGCAGATGTAGTGCACTTCCGAACTAATCTAGGGGCCGTCATAATTAGAATAGGGTTTTGGGGCCCATCATACTATAATTGTAATAAGGAGCCCCCAATGTAGTATTGGTAATTATTTAGGCCCCTACATTACTGCAATCCGTCCAGTCCTGGCTGTCCTGTCCTAGCACTGCTGGCATTCGGCTGGATTTGAAGACGGTGCCTGTGACTGGCGGCGCCCGTACCGGTGCACCTCAAGGTCCTTGGGCACATCCAATCATGCCGTGCAGTGCTACTTTGGCACCCTCTGTGAGTGCATGAACTGTGGGCTGGGTAGAACCAGGGTTTGAACATGCTTCTGTCTTGCAAGGTACTGCAGAGAGGGCGCAGAGCTTCACAGTTGCCTGAGCCTGAGCGCCTGAGCCTGAGCCCCTTCATTTCTTCAGCAAATCGCCCCCGGTAGTCCGCTGGTCCCCCATGAGCTGGGACCCTAGCATGCTGCGCCATGCGTGCATGGCCAGCATGCACAACAAGAGGGCGGTTTGGGCTAAGTGTGGGAAGGGTCGGGTCAAGAGGGCCACAAACGGGCTGAACCTCATGTGAAGCTAGGTTACGTGCCTTGTCGTGCAGGGCTCAGGTAGCAAAAAAGCTGATCAAGTAAGGGCCTCTGCTCATTCCACGAGTTAATGCTTATCTACAGCACCTGAAAGAACGCCACGGCCTAATCGAAGCAGATGCAAACCACTCCCAGGCATGTCACCCACTCTTCCAGATCAGACATCGTGCGGAGAAGTCCTACCTCAATGGTTGGTGCGAGCTTCCTGCAATTTTACTGAAGCCTTCTCGCAACGCTGCGGGAGCAGAGGAGTGCTCTGAGGCTCAGGTCACTCTCATGCTTTGGATGACGCGTGAAACGGATCTGAAGCTGCATCCTTGCAGCAGAAGCTATCCTCTCTCGGAAGCTCCCACGCGACTCTGCCGTCGTGTCGATATCGGAGCCATAGCAGTCAATCTTAATATATGGTACTAGTAATTATACTAGTACAAGGTGCAAACGCAAGTATGCATGATAGTCATCGTAGTAGCAAGAACGCCCAAAGCTGCGGAACAAACCTGCAAGCTTCTGCTGTCTTGTTTAGTGGTGAAGCGTGTATCACATCTTAAAGCTCAAGACGGCAGGTGCATGATCGTCACGCCGAGTAAAGACTGAACTCTCAGCCCCACAACCCTAGCTGTCAGCGGCCCCTTGTGGGCTCTCCGCCTTTGGCAGCTCCACCTCGATGCACAATCCGAGTACGTGTTTTTCCGCATGCTGACAGGACGTGGCATGCAGATTTTGTGAAGGGGCAACTTCTTCCGGACAGAAGATGAAGAAAGTACGAGGGCTCTAGGACGATTCTTGCAGCCTGTCAAATCATCACTCTGGTCACCTCAAGGGACAACCCAACATGACATTCCGCAACTAAGGGGGTGCGTACTGAATTCCTCAGCCCTTCCCGAGACCCAAGTCTAAGTCAAGATCCGGCCTCACCACGCACGCGGAAACCCCGGGCGTAAGCCACTGCAGCGAGGCCCGCAAAAGCTGCCTTGTCTGGTCGGAGCAGGAACAGGAGCAGCAGCAGTAGTAG